ATTCAATTTCAAAAAGCAGAAAAAAATAGCAAAACCAGAAATCTTACTTTTCTGTGTCGTAATAGTTTGTAGCTTCAAATAAAATTCCATGAGAATATGTGGCTTTGCATGTCGGTCACTCAGCAGTCTTCTTGCAGAAAAAAAGAAGTAGTATGAAAACAAAGAAACCTCACAAGGACCAAATCCTTTCTTTTGGCTATACAGGTCTAATTATAATTAAAAGCTGATGTGGAACCATAAAAAAAAAAATGGAGAAAACTGATTGAGAACTGTTGAATAGCTAATTTGTCAAAATTCCTTTAAAAAAATCCTTTAAAAAAATTGTCTTGAAATATATTTTGGTTTAGGTAAGTATGAGCTACAGATGGCCATGAATTTCAAAATTTGATGATTCAGTGGCCATTGCAGTGTACAAAACTGGTGTGTGGGGATACATTTGCATAAATATGCATCCTCACAAATATAATCTATTCTTCGGGTGACCTCACAGTGTTATCGTATGCCTGTAGGGAAAGACACAAGGACAAATGCCATAGTTGTTACCATTCTCTCTTCAAGAAAAGGTGTTTGCTGTAATTTTTATATGAAGTACTGGTATTCTGTCTTCTGAAAACTTCTGATTAGATTTTTGTCTTTTTGTCTGTTGTTTAGAATGTAAGCATGAAAGTTCAATGTGAATAAACCACATCCTGTAATTCCTCCCTTATTAGAAAAGGGGTGAGGTACTGTCATAAATTCAGGTGATTCACATTATAATGGCAAATGCAAAGTCTTTTGGGTATCCTTCATCGCTGGAGTGGTCTTTCATTTTCTGTACTCCTCTACCATCATTCTGACTCATAGCTATAGAGGACATGCACCATGCTGCTCCTTTGAGTATTTGGAGAACAGTGTCTTGGGGAAGCAATTTGTCTATTGATCACACACAGTTATATATAATTCTAGGTAACTTTAAAGAATGATCTATCTAAGGACATTTTTAATAGAGCAAAGAAGTTAGTAGGTTTTTCTGTTTTGTTTTGTTTTCTTTTAAAAAAGGCAATTCCGGACAGTAAACATCTGCTTTCTTTGACATTTTAACTAACTTTCACCTAGTGCATTTTGTCTAAGTTAACCCAAGATCTCTTGCCTTCTCAAGTAAAAATGAAGCTGTTTTTTGGGGGTGAGGGTTTTCTTGCTTATTTAAGATGGCTATTCCCTTTGTATTTATCCATTCCTTTCCTCTCTCTAGGGACAGAGCAGAATGTAATGATTGTCTCTTACTAGCTTTTTAATATAATGTTTTCAGAACTAGATCAGAGAGTATCCACTTCCTTACAAGCAAGGCTATGCCTTTATCAACTCACACTTAAAAGAAATACAGTTACAGCATTAATCCCTATGGACATTTAGCCAGAACTTCATTAGCAAGTTTTCAAATTGCAGTCTCTGATTCAGGTGTTCCAGGCAGGTTTTGTATTTTTCAGGTTTCAGTTTGCTTGGGTTCTGTTGGTTCAAGTTTCAGCATTTGCAAAACCTGTATCTAGTCCATGTTTTTTTTCTTTATACTGAGTATCAGGTGGGAGCTAGGACGCTTTATCTGTTACCTATTTAGTAGTAATAATGAGAATATCTTTGTTTTCATTACTTTCTCTTCTTAAGGGCTTCATCTTTTAAGAGACTGGTCTTGTGATGAGTTTTGTAGCTTGAAAGCTGCTCAAACAGCTTTCAAGCTACAAAAAAAAGTTTTCTCTTGAAAAGCCTCAAATGAAAAAATTCTTAGACAAATAAGCACATTTTACATCATGCAATAAAACTAATTATTTTGGAAATTTAACCAACAGGCAGGAAGAGATTTGTGATTGAGAATGTCTTTCCAATAACTGTATCCTTGTTCTGTCATTGTGATACCAACCCTGCTAGTACATTAGATCTTACATTACATTAAATTACATTAGATTGCACCATACTGCTGTAACATGTTAAAAAACTCACCTTGTCAGGTAGGCAAGACTAAAGTTTTTTAGTCAGAATATGATTTTAAAACAATCCATTAACAATCTGGTCAGTTTTCATAGCTTTTAGTCTTTGTGGTATTTCAAGTTTGAATTGGAAGCAATCTACACGTACAAGCACTGCAAACTGGCTTTATCTGCTGCAACTTCTGGTCATCCTCAGTTTGAGGGAGGATTTTTCAATCAGTTTTTCAGTCAATTTTTCAAGTGTGAAATTTGCTTGAAATGTTTAGAGTTGAGAGAGTATTTGTTGGCATTTTTGAAAGCATCATTAGTGTCTGTGTTTGACAGCTAGGTAGTTACAGAATCATAGAATGGTTATGGTTGAAAAGGACCTTAAGACCATCTAGTTCCAACCCTCCTGCCATGGGCAGGGACGCCTCAGTCTAGACCATATCACCCAAGGCTGTGCAACTGTTCTGGTTAATTAACAAAATTCATGTAGTTATTTGATACTTCCAAGTGAAACTATAAGTCACATAAACATAAGTAATATTTTAAAATGAAGTTACTATGCTGAGTAGTGAAGACTAGCACCTAAAACGCAATTCCTCCCCAGTGTGCGACAGATTTCTGTCATCAGAAGCAGGAGCATAAAATTTACTCTTTGTGGAGGTGAGAATCTTCCTACCTATTAGGAGGAAAGCTAAAATGTCAGTAAAGTATTTTGAGTAAAGGGATGATTTCTCTATATAGTCTTTGCATGCATATGCATGTATGGACATACTTGGATTCTGTTCCTTCAGTGGTGTTCTGGTGAATTAAATTGCTACCATAAAGAGAAAAATAATATACTTTAACAAAGTAGAAAGCATATCAATAAAAATGGTATCTCTCATCTAAATGTTTTTCTAATGCGGAAGGCATTTATAGTCTTAGAAGTCATGTGACAACCAGTTCTATTAATCATAGAATCGTAGAATCATAGAATAGTTAGGGTTGGAAAGGACCTTAAGTTCATCTACTTCCAACCCCCCTGCCATGGGCACGGACAATCAGCAATACAATCAGTATTACAATCAGTAATCAGTATTAATAATGTCTTCTCTTCAACATAGTGTGTATTTCTTTAGTTCCCAGGGTGCATTTATACACAATTTAGCATGCGTGTAGAGAAAGAGTAGTAGTGATCATGTAGAAATGCATATAGTTATTTAATAATTGAATTGTGGTCCTAGACCCTGTTACACTTTTCTGATGAAAGGCTCAGTTATTTTGCTTCACATTGTATTAGTAAAGGCAGTATATATTTTCATCATTGTAAGCTTCAGACTATAACTTGGTGCTATGATAGTAAGAAGAAACAGATGTTTACCATTATTTAGACACAGTTGAATCCTGCAAATATATATGTATGCTTACATGTGTATATATGTGTGTCTATATATATATGTATGTACCTATATATATATAGGTGTCTCTGTATATATGTGTATGTACATATATATATATATAGCTTTAGCAATTATTAGGAATAATAATAGAGAGTCCCTATTTACAGGACTGTGGTCACAACTGAGTCAGAGTGCAAGCATTTTAACTTTGTCATTAATTTTTCTTAAGGTAAAGTACTCCTATTTCCTTCCTCTGTTTTATAGATGTGTATGTATATATATATATATATATAGCCTTAGTGATATTTTTAAGGAGCCCTGCAAAAAATCAGGAAATACGGATTAACTTGTCATTTCATACTGCAGTGAAATATTCTTCTGAGATGAGTGATCTTCATCTTGTTAAAGAAAAAAGATGTCTTCTTTGAGAGATGGAATCTTTAGATATATGAAATTCTTGCCTGGTGTAGCTTTGAATTGGTTATTTGAGCATAATGTAATTGAATTTTGAAAACAGTAGATAACCATATACTGAGTGAAAACTTTTATCATATCTTCTGAATTACATGTTTTGACAGTGCATCAACTGGATTCTAACCAGTGTGGATGAAGGTACTCTTTTGTATGCTGGAGCATTAGAGTATTTCAAATCTGAATTGTTCTGAATCTTGACAAGGATGGAGTTCAGGCAGAATTATTCAGCATAAAATTAATTAAAGCAGAGCATATGAGTTAAAAAATAAACTGACAAAACTCTAAATCAGTAAGGAGGGCAAAAACTTTCTTTTTTCATTTCCTTGATAGGAGTGAGCATTTTTCTTTAATTGCATTGAAATTGTATCTGTGCCTAAGAACAATACATATAAATAATACTTTGAGAACATGGATAAATTTAATTTCACACAGAATGGTGAGACAAGCTAATCCTTGTTTGTAATTGTAGTGGGGGAAAAGAGAGAACCTTCCTCTTCTTGTGCATGTGTCCAGTCCGTCAAAGTTTTGCTCTCATAGCTAGTTAATAATAAGCACACAACTTCTGAATAATATGCTGTATGTTCTTAGTAATAAATGCATAAAGTAAGCTCACTGTCAGTAATTATTTTTCTTAGACTATATTATGTTTACATTTAGTATTAATATTGATCATTGCATTTACTACAATTCCATATAAACAAACTATTTTATGAATTAGGATTTTTTATGGGCATAATTGTACCTTTTTGAAGAAAGATGGAATACTTTGTATGAACAAGCTTCACTCAATCTAAATAAGACTAAAGTAGAATGAAATTTTTTAAGGCAAGGTTTAGTTTTCACTTCTATAAAAACCGTGCTGAGACATGTCCTTCATTTCATCATCTCCCTTCTCAAAAACTGTCTCTGCTGAGAAAATAAGCGCATGTTCTTTATTCCACAATAGCAGCAGTGTGAAAGAGTCCAGCATAATGCACCCCTGATGAAACATTAAATTCACCATATATATGTGCTTTGACTAAATGTTCTATTTTTAACAGTCCGTTTTACTAAACATACATAAACTGTGCTGTTACTTGTAGCTATTGCTTTCTGTGTTTTTCTGCAAAACAGGTTTTGATTCTCAAATATCCAGTTGTGCCATTTTCAGTGGATTTCTTTGTTCTAAAGAGGATTTATTTTCATTTTTATTTTACAGAGTTACATACATGGAAGCAGTCAGGCTCAGTTTGTTGCAGAATCTCATATTATTCTTCTACTGAGTATCCTTCAAACTGGTGATGAGTAGAAAAAAAGCAAGCTGAAGCACAGTGTCCTGTTAAATAAAATTGCTCTGGCAGGGAATACCATTGAATTTTTGAGCAGGTATTGTATTTTGGCTTATTTATTATATGTTTAAATAAATATCCAGTATTGTTGCTGTTTACAGCCAAGTAAGGCTGGCATTGTTTTTTACTAATATGGACCTTGTTGTCTCTTTTATTACTTGTGTGCCTGGTTACCAATCTTAGTATTTTTTCCTTTCAGTGTTATCTTTTCAGTAGCAGAAAATAATTTTCTTCTCTTTTTCACTTTTTATTATAAAAGTTAGAATTTTATTATTTTCCTTTAACTGACAAGTATGCTGAAATTAACTAGTCATACGTAAAGATGATTTGTCCTCCAGCAGTCTTTGGGTTTAGTTTTATTTTAGTTTTTGTGTTTCTCACTTAATCTAAACAGTTTAATACCACTTTTAGAAACAAATAACTCAATTCCATTTGTTCTGACATCATCTCCTCACAGAAAGACTTCAGGAATTACTCTTTCATTCTTAGAGCAAGTTAAATTAAATCTGTGTGTCTGTGAATATGCTTTAATATTCTGTAAGAAAAACTCATGTACTGTCTGGTTTCTTTAAACCCTGCTTCTAATCAGCTTTGTTCATTGATGGAAAACTCCAGTCACCATTAACCACTATTAAAATACAGTTGTTCCATCACAAATACCTTCCTCTAAGGAGCACAAGAGGAAGAAAAGAGCATGTCCCAATTTGAATAGCCGATCTCAGGGTTTGATGATTGTATCTACGCTCCTGTTCTCTCCCTAAAGTTAAGTTAGTTTAGATCCTGCCCTTCTTGTGGCTTCCCTATCTACCTTCATCTTCATTATTTACCATCCAAAGAGAACACCATCATTATGTCTTTTTGCTTCATTACATTTATTTGCCTGGCATCAGTTTTGCAACCTGTGAAACATTTTTTGCTCTGTAAATAGGCATTACTAATTTAATTTCAAAGTTATGATCATATTTTGCAGAGTAAATGCAATATTTGCTATTGAACTGGAATATTGTGTCCAGTTCTGGGTCCCCCAGTACGGGAAAGATGCAGACCATACACTAGCTGTATAATACAATTTATTAAACAAGCACACTAAAGTGAATAAGCACACTAAAGCAAACAAGCACACTAGCGCAAACCAGGTATATATCTCTATATAGTAAGTACAGTAAAGCAAATCGTATCTATATATTATATATATAGATACATATATATAAGTAAAGTGCAGAGGAAAATTAGCAATACATAAAATCATTACTGCAGAGAGAGAACAGAGATTAAGTAGAAACACATCACCAAGTACATTGAATCATCATCCATGCTTACACTTCAAGCTCAGAAGCCCCATTGCAGCCAATGCCAGGAGTTTCAGGTAATTGCAAAAACTCCTGTGTGGTGCGTCCACCCATAGCTGAGGCTTCGGATTCAGCTACAAGAGGGTCCTGCTTTTATACCATTAGAAAAACAACCAGTTTTATGCCAGCTCTGTCCTTGTTTGCTTATGGGGCTGTGTTGTTTCTCATGATCTCACTGTTGTCCACAATGAGAACATTGGCCAGGTGCCCTGGTGCAGCCAAGTATGAAAGTAATAGAACAGCTGCACACCTATGTTTATTTGCCTCTTTCCAAGAGTCACAATGAACATATACATATATACTGTACCGACTACACTATGACAATAAACATACTTCGTTAATGTGTCTCAGTCAGGAGAAAGGGTCAGCTCTCAGCTATGTTCCCGTCCGTTACACAGGGACAACTTTATCAGTGGGAGGAAATGAAGGAGATGGGTTTTCTAGTAGTGCTCTCTGACAGGACAAGAGGCAGTTGACCCAAACTGAAAACCAGGAAATTCAGTCTGAAGACAGGATGACACTTCTTACTGTGAGAGTGGTCAAACTCTGGAACAGGGTGCCCAGAGGGGCTGTAGAGTTTCCATCTGAGAAGATATGCAAAACCCAACTGGACACAGTTCTGGGCAACCTGCTGTACCAGGTTGCTTGTGCAGAGGGGTTGGATTAGATGATCTCAAGAGGTCCCTTCCAGTCTCAACCATTCTGTGGCTCTGTCAGTTCTCCAGGTTTTATATCATATCCTAGCTAATGCTGTATCAATATCACATTGAATTTTTTAACGTTTTGGAACCACATTTATTTGTTTATGATTTCTAAATTAGAGCTTCCTTTTCTTGGTAAGAGAGAATTAAAGATAAATAGCTTTACCTGAATATTGCCAAGTCAAAACTCAGTGATTATTAATTGCTGTATTTTTTTTAAAGTACACAGAGACAGGCATTATGTTTCAGATGAAAAGTTTCTTGTATGATAGATATGTGCATTTTATTAATATCATCTTTATGCTTCATTTTGTATAGCCACTATTTCTTGGTTGGTTTTTTTTTGCATTTCCTGAACTGCCATAATTTCAAAACGTCTGTTATCTAAGACAGATCCTGTTGGATGATTGAAAATGGGAAAAATAACCATCCCAAACCAGCTAAGTTTAAAAATAAACAAAACTTTTGTTCATGACATATTTTGTTTACCTGACTCAGGCATGAATGTGCTATTTTTTTGTTGGCAGAGACTGTCTTTAAACTGGGAAGTTAGCTATCTACATTAACGCAGCTAGCTAAAAGAATCCTTTCAGTGAGGTTGTGCCTTGCCACTTGCAAAAAAAAATATCTAAGGTTTCATTTCATGGCTCAATACTGTTTGAGTTTTTGGTCACACACAGATTTCACAAGTGACATGAAATCTTGACAGATTTTAAGTTATGCATGAAAGAATATTTCTTCATTCTTTCAATTTTGTAGTAATTATTAGCTGCTTCTTTGCTTCCTCATTATCTGTTTATTCAGGAAATTTTGATAGAAAATATGGGAATTAGAAAAAAAGTGTGCCAGATTCATAAACAGTAGTACATTCATTTTATCCTGTAAAGTTTAAAAGATGCATTAAATTTTAAACCAAGACATTACTATGCTGGTAATGTACATGCTTCATTTGGTTGCTTCTTTTCACTTTGTATTGATAAGAACAAGGACAAGGTTGTCACTTCTTGCTAGATGTTGAAAAGCAATGCTGTGTTTCTCTTTAAAGTGAATTTTTAATACATGTGATGAGAAAAAATTTATTTCCATTGCATTTCTATGCTGGCTTTTAGATAGTGATTCTACCCAGTCTGCTAGATGATTTCCGTAGAAAGATCTGCTGTATATTTCCACTGCTGTAGCTACATAATTTTAGGACATGGGTAAGAAGGACTTGTAAAGATGTCAGATATTTATTTTCAGTTACATTATAAAGCAAAATTAAATTCAAAATTCAGAATTTTTATAATACTGTAAACAAGTAGTTTCAGTCCTAACAGATGGTTACTACATCTTAGTAGTAGCAAAATGGAAGTCACTGTAATAATACTGCACATACAATGTTACATCAGTAAAACAATTTTACATCATTAAAAAAATTTATACTTAATTTTATTTCTGTGATGGGTTTTCTCACAGCCAAAATACTGATACTGCATTTAGCAGCAGATCAGAGTAACTGAAGTGGGTTAGATTGAACACTTTCTTAAGACACTAAAGACTTAGAGTAAGCACACATCTCAGAACAAGGAAGCATTCTTTCAATTCCAAAGTCCCAAACCAGTTTCTGATTCATTTTGAGGCTCCTTATAGGTGGCTGATGGGGGCCATGTTACCAAGTCCACAGGATCTTATGCTGTGGGTGAATTTTTTTTTTTTTAATCAAATAAAAAGATCACCATATTTCAACATAAAGCCTGTTGAATTCCAGGCTGCAGAATAGCAAATAAAAATTAGAATAGGCTTTTAAAAGCAGAGTGTGGTGGGTCGATCCTAGCTAGACACCAGGTGCCCACCAAAGCTGCTCTATCAGTTCCGTATTAGCTGGATAGGGGAGAGAAAATGTAAGTAGAAGCTCATTGGTCAAGATAAAGACAGGGAGAGACCACTCAGCAATTACCATCATGGGCAAACTAGACTCAACTTGGGGAAATTAGTTCAATTTATTGGAAATGAAAATCAGCGTAGGGTAATGAAAAATAAAAGCTAAATCAAAGCACCTCACCCTCACCCCTTTCCTTCTTCACAGGTTTAACTTTACTCCTGATTTTCTCTACCACCTTCTTCCCACCAGCACAGAGGGACAGAGAATGGGGGTTGTGGTCAGTTCATCATGCACTGTCTCTGCTGTTCCTTCCTCCTCAGGGAAGGACTCCTTACACTGTTCCCCTACTGCAGCATGCAATCCCTCCCATGGAGAAAGTCCTCCACCAGCTTCAACGTGGGTCCTTCCTATGGACTTCGTTCTTAATTAAGTGCTCAAGTATGGGTTCCTTCCACAGGGTACAGTCCTGCAGGAACAGACTGCTCTGGTGTGGGTCCCACATGGGGCCACAGATCCTGCCAGGAGCCTGCTTCAGTGCTGGCTTCCCAGCAGGTCACAGCCTCCTTTGGGCATCCCCCTGCCCTGGGTGTGGGGTCCTCACCAGGCTGCAGGTGGATCTCTGCTCCACCATGGACCTCCATGGGCTCCAGGGAGGCAGCCTGCCTCACGATGGTGCGCGCCATGCAGGGCTGCAGGGGAGTCCCTGCTCCAGCACCTGGATCACCTCCTCCCCTCCTTCATTGACCTTGGTGTCCACAGAGCTGTTTCTGCCCAGGTGTTTTGCTGTTGTTGCCCATTCCCCCCCCCCCTTTTTAAATATGTTATCCTAGAGGTGTTATTGATATCACTGAAGGGCTTGGCCTTGGTTGATAGTGGGACCGTCCTAAAGCTGCTTAGTAGTGGACATATGGTAAGCTCCTAGCAGCTTCTCACAGAAGCCACCCCTGTTGCACCCCTGATACCGAAACCTGGCTATGCAAATCCAATTCAATGAGAAACAGACCTTTATGTAAAGAATAGCCC